ATGACTTGGCCACTTACGTTTTCCCGCGTCTCAGGATGTTTGGTAGTTTTTTACTTGGACTTTTCATATGGCTCTGAAAGGTATATATCGTTTCAACTCAGCGATATACATTATCGTTACGTACCTTGTTTCCTTTTGCAGATCTCTAGGAACATTTCAATTTTCTTTCGCTTATTTTGCGAGAGAGTGGTGGTTTTTTATGTTATCCTTTAAGGCGGACATTGGCGCACGGCTAGCCAGAATTAATCACCTCGCACATGCCCGATGTTAAACTGCTGTGTGCCGTGTTCCTCACAAGTGACTCACCCTTCTGTCAGATAGGAACCACTTCTTTTTCACTTCACGATAGAACAGGATACCGAACCTCATCCAAATGAATACAAGGCAAAGTTTGATTGGAACTGACCCCAGATATGTCAGGTAAAATAATTCCTTCTGTTACTTTCCCCTAGTGAAAAAAAAATTTAAAAATGAATAAATAAATAAGTAAATAGAATAAAAGAGTAAAAAATATATATGAATCAATAACTAAATGGGGGCCGGTCATTATTCATCACCTGAGGGAGGGGGGTGGGGATTGGAGGATTTTGGTTCTTTTATGATCAATTGTACCTGATCACCCCTATAAGACTCTGTAATATCCTTACAACCCCCACTCCACCACACCCCGCACACACACAACACACACCTACACACACGCATACACGCACACGCACGCACGCACACACAAAAAATAACAAAAAAAGAAACTCTTCCATGTGATATGCTCTAAACAACATGCATACACTCACTGACCTCTGTGAACACGTCCTCCGTTGGCTAGATTATTTCAACCGCAGCACGCTCGGCAAAAGTTGAGAAATGTACAATTTCGATCGCTGTTTTTTCAGCTGCAGGCGATGCAAAAAAGGGCAATTCTAAAGTGATCAAATTATTTGTTGAAACATGTATCCCGGAGATTTTCATGGGCATTATGTTCAACTACTAATACGCGCTTGAAAGTTCATTTATCGCTTACACGTACAAGTTAGATGAGCTGAGCATATTCTGTGAACAATATTTTTATTTTGAAGAAGCAAGAGAATTTTTCATGACACAAGTGAAAGACTCTAATGTTTCAGCACATAATATACTTTATGGTTGGAATGTGATCTTACCTACGGGCATCTCGCAAATGTAGGCATTTTTATTATTCCAAGAGATACCATCAAAGAGGCCTCCATTTTTGGATATTTCCGCGCAATTGTCGTTACCTCTTGCCTCAGAATCCCGCCACTTCAAAATACTTAATTGTTGTCCACTCTCCCAAGTCCAAATCCCGGCTCTCTTCCTTAAACCACTATGCCATGCATTAGTATTCCAAGCAATACGCTTTTGACTCATGACTGATAAACTGCCATTCTTCTTCAGTTTCGATGGAGACTAAGTAACCTCCCTGGTACCAGAATTAGCATAAATACCAGTTGAAATTCCATCTTGTTCCGCTTTTCGAAAATACGTAAGAGGAGTTTTTGAAGCAGGTTGCTTGGCACTCTATGAGAAAAAATAAAGGAATGAATAAATAAACGAAAAAATGTATGTTGATGATAACAATTGTGATAACGGTAATGATGGAGACGAGAAAGTATTTTTGACACCATTAATTTTAATATCAAACAATGGTCATCAAAACCCTCTACATCACTGAAGCAAAAGGTTTTAAAAGTGGAAAAAAGGGAGATCAGGTAGCACCGTTATTTTACGACTTCTTTGTTTTGCTTTCTGCATAACGGTTAAAATCGGAATTACACTGCTTCACCTGTTCCTGGCATTTCCATAAACAAATGAAGGATTACTATAGAAGAGGAAATGAGCAACTAAAGTGATTATTATCTCAAGAATAACATTTGAAATAATGTAAAAGCTTATTAGATCTTGAGTTAGTCTACTACTAATGCATTTTATTTACTACATGTCCTTTAAGATCCACCCATGACTTTTATTACCTTCCCTGGGGATCAGACGAAGAAATTTTAAAAAATGCAGCATCTCCACAATTTACCAATCAGCTGAACAAAACTTTTCACATGTGGAAAACACTTTTAAGGATACAGTAGACCTTCGCGAATGTCCTTCGAGGAAATTTTTTACACGGGCTATTCAGAGTGCAACCAAACTATATAACAATGAAAAGGATGTAAAATGCGCTATTAAAAAAAAAATGTCTCGTTTTAGCTCGCAACAATTCGAAACGGACGATGCTTTATCAAGCGAATTAATCAAGTACCAAGTCTGACCGCTCAAATAGAACTTCTGCTCAATTTTAATCTTGAGGGGTTGGTCTCCAAAAGTTAGTGAGGATTTTTCCATATTCTTGCAATTGGTTGTTACTAAACTATGGATCAGTAGACCGCGGAACCTCCACCATAGATTTTTTTACAAAAGAAGAGCAATGAGATAAGTATAAAGTTTGCTTTCGGGTACAAAGGAGAATAATTTGAAAGAAAAATATGTTTTAATTCACCATGATGTCCAACTTGGCGAGCATTCGGCAATCATCTGCTCTGAGTGTTAATAACTGAACAAAAATTTGAAAGCTCTGACAGTTTGGGTACCGCGATATCTGAATAGCGCCTCTTTTGAAGGTTCTCAGTAAAGCTTTCGGCTCAAATTCATTGCACATGACCCTGGAATGAGGACCACCATCGTATCATTTCGGGGTGATCCATTAAACATGAATAATAAGAGGACTTTATTAAAAGCCAAAGAAATAATTTTATAACTAAGCTTAAATCAAAAACGAATCTCCATGTGGCTGTATGGAGTTCCATTGCTGAATCATAATACGTAAAAAATAATTAATTTTAAGGGTTACTTAATTATTTTTCTGTGAGTGCACTTCACTTTAACCCCTCAGCTTATTCAGAAAATCAGCTATCGAAATTCATGATTACTAATGGTGTTTTAATTTGCGATAAGAAAGGAAAAAGTACACCAATTCAACCTTTTTTTTTCCAAATACATGTACCGGATCAAGTGTTAAACTTTGCATCTATCTAACGTATTGCCATTTTAAGGGGACCCTGATGATTAAGTTCGATCTCTTGTCTACGCACGTCGAACGTTCAGTACCAATCTGAAGACGAGACGTTTTTCCTTTTTCACATCTTGTCATGGTGGTAGAAAACGATAGCAATTAAGCTATTGTGTCCCTGTCATCCTAAATATGGCGGCCAAAGCTGTTGTGCAGACAACCATGATGCAAATAACATGACCACAGCATGAATGTCTCGCCTGTGCTTGTTGATCTTTAATTGCTTTGCGCTATATGGAATGTAAAAGGCTTAAGGTATCCAATTTATAAGAAATCCTTCTCTGATTATGAACTAAGAGGTTAATGCGGACATCTTTAGAATCTGATTTGTTTTGTTTTAATCAACAGTGCCAAATAATCGCCACCTGACATTTTTTTTTCGGTTTTGTTTTGCCAAATTTCACAGGATGTTCAAAAATCGATACAAATGTTTCGCAAATGGAAAGTCAAGATATAATTAGGTGGTACTTACCTAGCGCACAACTTTTAAAAAAAAGTTTTGCTCACTTTTTCGGATTCAGTTGTACTCATCACGGAATTTGATAGCTAACGCATAACAAACAGGAATAACTAGCGTTGTACTTACACAGCACACAACATGTTAATAGAGTTTTGAAAATTTTGCCGGATTCAGTTCCATTCATCATCCACTTCATCATGGCCACGATATGCAAAGGTTGCTGTTAAAAGGTATCGTTACACTAATATTTGATTCACCCCGCTTGAGAGTTGCGGATATACGGCATCCTTATAAAACTCTTTCGTACGAGTTAGAATTTAATGCAAATTTTGATCTCTGATAGCTTGTTCATGGCGTTTGTCTCCTTTTTTTTATCCCGTCATAGACGGACCAATAGACAAAGAGCAGCTCGCAACAGATGTGGAGCATTGTTTTTCTTAATACAATCGAAAAACTTCACGGTATTAAATTACTTTTTATCATTCCAATTTTAGAAAGAAGCAGCTCAAAAATAATCGATATTATTCTGGAATATCCAATAGTCTTAGCTGCAATAAAGTTAGTCAATCGAAGCTTGAAACGTTTTGACATATCGCATTTGGGCGGTGTTAAGAGAAATGTACTTGTACATTCAAGAATATTCCTTTTTTTATTACTTCTTCCGCCTAAATCGTACGCTTCTTCATCCATGCTGATTTATAAATAGGTATGACGTAGTCTAACCTGTTGTAAACCGAGTTAAGCACGTCTACATAATCAACTCCATCTCTTGCTGGTTGAAATTCCTCTTCAATACTAGCCTCTCCTTTGTAGTGATATTTGAAAGCCAGGCCCTTGGAAATATTCCGCATTTTTATCGCTGAGCTTTTTCCCTTTAAATTGTCTACACTGTGCAAAAGTTCTTTCATCGCTGTTTAATGAAGTTTGCGCATGAGATTATAATCTCTTGGATTATGCCATTTCCGGCCAGCGTCGTCCCTATTGAATTCCAAATTATTCGATGTATTTCGATTCAAAATGGTATTCCTTATCTTACGGATGCGGAAAAGAAAGGCAAATGTAACTGATCCAAAAACGATTTAATTATGAGAGTTTTTCTATTCTTTTTAAATCAGTTATTTATTTATTCAACCATTTGTGTATTCATCTATTTATTCATTAAGCAACAACTTTTAATGGCTACTTTAGCTGCTATTACTATTAGTATTTTTTTGTTACCAGTACAATTTAACTGACAGAAAGAACATTATCTTGCCTACAAATATACGATTGCTTAAAAAATAAGCTTATAATAGAAGAAGGGTTACAATTACAACTAGTTGAGTGCTTACACAATAATGAAGAGAGAGACTTCTTTTCAACTGCAGATCGTAACCAAGACCGATCGTAACCGACTTATTGCTGTTAACTAAGTAATTGTACTAAGTAATTGTACTAAGTAATTTCCGGTTGACTGGATCCAGTTATTTAAGTTAGGTGCGATTTCGATTCAAATTCAGCGCAAGACTGCAGTTCAACTGCCCATACATCCCCAACCTCACTTGCATTCACGTGTGAGCTCTTCCTTGCGGAGTTGTTCTTTATAGGAGATGGAAAAACGATATTCATCTTTCTTTTGAATTTCTCTCTGATCTGCAGATAGACGAGGAACACGAAATATGGCTCTTAGCACTCGGATATTTATCGAAACTCTAAAAGATGATGATATGGTGTTAATAATCAGTTTAACGTTTTTCTCACCTGAGTATTTCGCATGCAGTGCAGAGCGAAAATCAGAAAACCCTGCAGAATAAACGTGATTTCAAGATCAATAATTTTTTCAATAAGCAAACAAATTAGTCTCATATCTATTAAGATTTCCAAGAAGAAAGGAAAATCGCATAATTACCTTATAATTGAAAAAGAAGGCTGTTTTCTCTTGCATAGTTAAGAGCTTCTTGTTTTCAAAATTCCGAAAAGTATCATGTGACCATTGTAATGGTGTCTCACTTGGTTAGAAAGTAATATAATAAAAGAGATTGAATGATTTTTGACAGTTACCGTCGAACACTGACCTGAGTAGAGTTGAGTATGGTGAAGATGTAAGCGAAAGCTTTATGTACAGGCGAGAGGAGACCAAATAGCCACGTGACACCCAGCAGGGGAATCATCACCGCGCATGCTTTGATACCAAGTCTAGAAGTTAAAAAGAAAACATTCCTCTATTTTCCTTTGAAAAAGAGTTTCATTGTTAGATATTGTAAGGCCTTACCAATTGAGGAGTGAGGAAGTTAGGCAAATACAGCCTCACAGGAGAACATGGCAATCTCTTCCACTATTTTGTTATAGTGTGATGTTGTCAATCTTACCGTATTTGCTGAGAATGGTCGTCCTCCCCTCGTGGCTGCAACAAATTGGTCATCTCCTTTATGACTCGTGCGAGTATCAATATGTTGGCCTGAAGAATGCAATAAAAATAAATAAGTTATTTAGATATGGTTATCGAATAGCTAAGGCAGGAGAGTACCCTTGCCAAAAACGTTACTAGTTTGGTAACAAGGGTGGGGTGAGGAGTCATTTACAGGGAATAGAACTCTTAACCGGGAGATTATGAGCTTCGATCCACTGACAATGAGCTAAAGAAATCGCGAACAAAACTGTCTAAACTGAGTGAATCACGCCAAGTGAAGCTTCACGTTAAATTATGTAAATTCAATATCTCCTACTCTTACAGCTTCTTTCATCTTTTTCAAGGTTTTTTTTCTTAATGAGTTATTTTTGCGCGAAAAACATATCTTGGCATATCAATGTGAAACTGTGGGGAAACATTAACAAGGAGAGGGAATAATTTCTTTTTTTCATGCCATGTAGTAAAAGTTGGAGAGGTTTTACTCGCATATGAAGGCGATCGCAAGGTTAAAATTGACCAGCAACCCCGGAAACAGCAACAACGTCTAAAGTTTTTTGTGAGTAAGTAGGAAAAGGGAAATGGTAAATGTTGTGTGAGGTCATTTCATAAATACTTAATTTCCTTTTAAAAGAGCAGAGAAAAAAAACATTTGGCAGCAATTAGAACAGGTTTACCAATCACAATCACCATCACTAATCATAAACTCACAACTTCAATGAAAGCCACAAAGGCGACGAATATCCAGATTAGGTTGTTCGTCGAGGAAAGCCAGCAACTAAACTCCGAGAAGAAAAAAGACAAGAAAGAAAGACAAATTGTCAGCAAATGAAATAATACCGATTCTAAACTGTATACAAAAATACAAAAGAAAGAGTGCAATGAAATGAATTAAAAGGAGAAGAGCAAGAAGAAACGGTTGAATTTTTCTCTTACTATTTATCACTCGTATAGCTTTGTAACCCCTCTTTCCCAGCAGCGATGCCAAGTGAAATGGCCACCATGATCATTGGAAGACCTACCCATAAAGGAAAAAAAGAAAATCGAAGCAATTCGCTGGATGACAACACCATATTTGGCGATCCGAAAGCATGCATAATTACAGTTACCAGTGCGAGTTTTAAAATAATAAACTTACCCCATGAGATGACATGATACATGCACATCTTGGTGTTAATGTTGTAAACTTTCACAACGAAGAAGTAGAAATAAATTGCCTCGATCAGCATCCAACAGAAAGCGGCCATGAAGAAATACTGCATCAGAGCTGCTATGGTAACACAGGCAGCCTGTGGAAAGAAAGAGTTTTCGTACGATTCTTAACGTGCTCCTTTCGACAAGATATTTACGATGGAAAGAGTAAATTCATTCTATGGATAGAAGGAGAGGACACTAACTTTGTATTCTGTGGCGTTTATTCCGGCGAGGAAGATGATCTGTCCTGCTCCAAGGGAGATAGAAACACTCAGTCGAATTTGAGAGAGAGGTTGATGAATATCTCTGGTGAATTAATAGTAAAAACAAAAAGAATGAATTAGAGAAAAGCAACAACAACAATAATAGCAACACACTGAAGGTAGCAAGAATCACAAAGAACAACAAGATTGAATTAAAAATATAGCAAAATATCGCTTAAGATATAAAATAAATCTTGACAGCAAAGGAAAGAAAAAAATCAGTATATAGCTCCAGAAAGGATAAAAAAGGAAAATGTATCGAGGAAAAAGTCTAAACCCAAACAAGTTATAAACCGTGAAACCATGAGCTGTTCAAGCGCTCTTGATGGGGCATGAAATGAAGTTTAAATTTGTAAATTATCCGACATGCATGTTCTTATTTGCATGGAGACCTGCAATGAGATAGTTTTTTCTCACCAGCATAGTTGAGGAGAGTTGCGAATCGACCTAATTAATATTCGGGTATACTACTTACGTGTGGCAAGAATAAAGTATTAACGTTAAAAGTATCCCGACGATAGAAAGGCTCAGTCCCACGTAGGTGATTGTTTTCAGAATTTTTTCGTCCTCCTCGGTGAGCTGTTACAAAAAAAGAAAAAAAAAATGAGAGGACATCATAAAGTTACTTTTTTGAGCCCATAAAATTATTGAGTAAGATAAAAATTATTTGATTGCCTTTCTGCTACCGTCGTAGTCCATTAAGACGGCAAAATGCGTCAAATGATTGCAGCTGCAACCTGTCTCTTCTAAGTTGCTTTTTGATGTAACTACATGGCATCCTTCCTCTGAAAAGCTTTCACACATGAAAAAAAGTAAGTTAACGAAGCGCACAAAATTATTCCTTGTCTGGGGAAGAGGTAATGTTTGATAATTTTGCGTTAAGTTTTTCCTCCATTGAAGTCTTAGTTGGGAAAATATTTCAATCAGACCTCTCCTCTCTAAAAATAACAACATGTTGGCTTCCAGGAAAGTGTTAACCTGCCCAAAAGTATCTGACTAAGAAAGTTCATTCATTCTCCTCCATACTTAATTAATTTGAGAAGGGATATATACTTTACAATAATATATTGTAGTTTTTTTACCTTTCGCTTAAGCCACTCCAAAACATACAGCGCTTCTCTGCTGTCAAGACCTGAAAATAGATTTTATCTTGTCAGAATAAATCAAAACAACGCATAGCAGCTAATTTTCATGTTACCTTTAGGTTTTTGAAGTTTAGGATGACATTTTCTCGCAATTTCTCTGGCTTGGGGTCCATAGTTACGGCCATTATCCTGGAGTTGATATACCTGTAAGGAAATTGTATTTGAAAATGGACCAGAGCCAAGGAAGCAACATTACATACTTTTGGTAGATTTAAGTAAGGTCGAGTGGTCAGACAAGCAGGGAGTCTTTCTAAGTTCAGTTTCGTTGAACTTAGATCTCATGTGTTGTCGTGTTATGTGCTTTTGGGGGTAAACAACATGGAGGATATGAAAATAACGTCACCTTTGGTTGTCTGTTTCACTCCTGATGTCTTGATCTGTCAGAAGTAGGTCATGCAGATCCTTGTACACAAACGCAACTACCAATGATCCTTAAAACCCCCCAAGAATCAATAGAAAAAGTTATCAAACAACAACAGCAACAAAAAAACCCCACAAAATTGAAATTTGTATCAGGCTCTGAGTTACGTGACATTGGAAGGAAAGCGAATGATTAAGGGAAATAGACTGTGTAAAGTAATGAAGCACATCTTTATGAGGCTTTATTTCAATACAAAAATTCGATTGGAGCAAGCAAGGTAGTGAAAAGTTGTACAGTTAACAGGCTGGTTAAAACGAACCATTTTCCTGAAAATTTGAAGACGCGATATCGATTCTCGCTTGCCATGGTTGTTCCTCAAAGTGGAAGTCACTCGCATTCTGGCGATGGACTTTTTGAATGACCAAAACTGTCGGGAAAAAAAAAAAAAACGGTCAATGACATATACACAAACATGCGTTTTACGTTGTACACAAAATATGTCATAATCTTATAGGATGGAAGTGTATTTCTTGTATCTTATTTGCCCTTTAACGATTATTCGACAATTTAACCATTTTAAAACGTTTTTTCAATGTAAAACTAATTAAAAAGTGAGTCGTTCCTCGAACCGTTTCGTCGGAGAACTATAGAGTTCATAGGGGAGTTTTTACGAGCGCGGTCATAAATCTTGGAATTATATGCATCGCAGACGATAGACCAATTTTGAGCTCATTGTATAGTATAAAGTAAGCGGAAAGTATCTGTAAGATTTGTCAATTTCGGTGAGTAAAGTGTTACTCACCAATCCATTATTTAAGAAACGTTTCAGTAAACAGAGCGAGAAGAAGGGTTTCACAATTTGAAGGATTCCGATTCTCTTTTGTTGATTGTTTAAGAATACCTTTAATTTCCTTCTTCACCGCAAAAAATCAAAGTATCAAACAAATTGAAAGAATAGATGAATCGATGACATTCAACGATAACATTTCTAATAGGTTGGGCTCATAACAACAGTCAGTCAGCAAGTCAGTACGAAACAGAGGAATATACTTTGAAACTAAACAGGTTTAGAGGCTGCAATCTCACCCATTGTTGGGGAAAAGATCCTTTCTGAAGGTCTCGTTTCATTCAGGTGTCGCTTGCTATAATTAAGAGCAAATTTCTCGACGGCCTCTGCCACCTCAAAGATGGATTTTTTCAGTGTTTTAACCTCTTCTATGTCGGCCTTGTTTTTTGTGACGTTCTTGATATTTAAGGTGAAATCTTCAAACACAGTTACAGCCTCCTACAATTACATAAAATATTTCCAGGTCATTAACCAGCCAGTCTCATGTATACAATTCATGTTAAGAATGCGGAAAGAGTCTAGCAAGAGGCCCCAAATGGTTTCCAGGGTATTCATCGGCTAAAGAACTCTTAGGAGCCTGGACTATTTTTGAAGCCTCGCCATTTTCAACTCATGTGGCTTAATGGTGGTTTATCCTTCAAGGTCAGATATATACTTTTTTATCGTTTCCAAACATATATCAAAGTTAAAAAACCTTTAAGTCATATAAAATTAGATACCTGTATGGAAGTCTTTCTATTAATATTTATTCCGCCAAATTTTGAAATATAATCCTTCGCCTAAAATAAAAAAAAAATAATGTCTCTCACGTTTGTAAACAGAAGAGATCCTGAAAACCGACATGTATAAAACGGTAAATGACTATTTACAAAACATACCAGCTGCTCAACTGATGGGGATGGCGATGGCGATGGCGATGGCGATGGCGATGGCGATGGCGATGGCGAGGGCGAGGGCGAGGGCGAGGGCGAGGGCGAGGGCGAGGGCGAGGGCGAGGGCGAGGGCGAGGGCGAGGGCGAGGGCGAGGGCGAGGGCGAGGGCGAGGGCGAGGGCGAGGGCGAGGGCGAGGGCGAGGGCGAGGGCGAGGGCGAGGGCGAGGGCGAGGGCGAGGGCGAGGGCGACGAAGTTAATGTAGATATTGATGAATCTTTTAAGAAAAATGTTGATCAAGACTGCATTATGCAAAAAAAAATTGTCTTAGTATTACACTGTAAGGGCAAGAATGCGGACAGAAAGCGTAGTAGCAAAATGGCCGCTTTGAACGATTAAAACTATTAAATGCACTCGATTTTGTATTGGTTATACAGAAAACTCCTACTGTTCCTTTACATGGTTTTTGTCTTTCGTGTACGTCTTATGTGATCGATGCTCAGATAGGGCTGTAGGATGTTATTCGAAACTAGAATCCAAAATATTTGTTTATGAAATAATAGTATAATAACACATCCCCTAATCACCGGTTTAACATAAAGTATGAGTACACATTTTGCCTATTTTTTGTATAATTCGAAATCGCCCTTACGTGGCCCAGAAAATACCACTCAAAACGTGCGCGTATTTATTGTTAAACCACTGAGTATGACGTTTTCATTTCTTATTTTATCTTGAGCTGTTTCCGATGAATTTACGGCTCCTTTTGGGATTTTTGGTTTAACCTTAACCGTCATGCTGGTAAAAGGTTTAATTCAGCGCTTTTATTTGAATAATTTGACGAATTTGTTAATTAAGGCATTGCGAGAGAAAATGATTGGGAGGTTCCTTTTCCAGGCCTTGAAATATGTCAATCTCGCGGGTAGTTTTTCTGAGACATCCACGTAAAATTCAGCATCTATCTAATCTTTTGATGTGATGACTACCAAAAATTTCTTCGCATGACTTAAAGTTTTCAATTTAAAAAAGGTGAGTCATGTTTTCTCTCAAGCAAAAGAAGGGTTCCACGATGCTAATGCGCTGAAAAAGTTCATTTTGCGGCCCGAGTTAGTTCAATTGTTGTTTTTTTTTTTTTAACAATTTGAAGAACTGATTGAAAGAGTGGGTTGTCTTTATAGCTTTGTCTATCAGTAAACCAACGTAAATTTTCTTCACGTCTGTGAAACACAAGAAACATCGGGGCGTAGACACGCAGTTAACATTAACACTTGGACATAGCTGTCTACTCTGTGGCGTGGTGACACTTTCCTAACGCTTCTTTCTTTTCAAAGTGAAATATACAGATGTAATATTTTCTTACCTTTCGAAATTTCACAAATATATGGCAAAGTCGGAACATCGTTACCGCTTGGGACTTGATCTGCAAAGTTACACGATTGGTTCTTGACTAACATGCCCCTATTTCTGCGCCCAATTGAATGGTCTCCCAATTTACAAAAAGTTAGCGGTGTTCCACTCACCCAGGTCCAACTCCCGTTCTCTCTTACCAAACCGATGTGCCACCTTTGTTTATCGTAGTTTCTGATATCACTAATGATAATGTCTAATTCTTTTTCGGTTTCAATGGAAACTAAATCACCGCCCTCGGCCTTGCAGTAGCTTCTGCTCTCGTTCCATGTTTTTCCCAACGTACAAAAATCGTAGTGGGTTTTTTTAACACATGCATTGTCGCTTTCTATAGATTACAGGAGAAAACAAAAAATAGCATCTGAAAACGAACTATGGAAAACATGAAATTGACGTACTCACTTTACTTTAGTTCATATGCATATATAGCAGAGTATAGAGACATTTTAACTAACTTTATGTGCCTCGTACATGTGTGATGAACCTTTTTCTAGTTCACAATAAGCTCAACATCTCGTCTTTAAGTACAAATTTAAACCCTTTTCAACGTAGTTACACTCACTAAACTCAACCTAACAATGGCGATTCTATAGTTTAAGCTGCAGCTTTGTTCTTTCCTATTCAACGACTTGTAAATGTATCAGAGTCACACCTTTCCCCTTTTTTGGGCCAAATTTTACTTTAAGTGACACATATACAGCAAAGATAAATCACAGCCCTACCTCCTCTCACGGATTGCATCATCAAAGTCTGGATAGCTGAAGTACGAGTGTTAAAAATAAATTCAGTTTCTTATTTTCACTGAGATATACATGAGGGGACGCGAGCGGCCTCAACTGTAAATACTTTTTAGGAATGCTAGGAGATTAAGTCGTAAGTCGTAAGCACAAGCCGGGACTGAACTCCCGTGAGGAATGCACTGAACTTAACGATCTTCTATTTTAATGAGCTATTTTAATTAACTGTTTTTAACACATATTTTAGAACATTTTATCGCGCCATTAGTTTTCATGCATCCTACTGGCTAGTTTTACACTATGCTAATTTACAGTGGCACCTCCAACGTTTAAAACCATAGCGCATATATTTTATCGTCCTCCCTGATGATGCCGTAGAACGGCGAAAGCTCGGAGTGAATAAAGAAAGAACCACAGTAGCACTTAAAGGCTTCATTTGATCAATATCCCACATCATTACGACATGCTACTAAAGGACACGTTCAAACGTTTACTATGAATTTCAATAGCATTAAGCAACAACCCGCCTTTAACTGCTTCGCTGCCACTCAAATAACGATTAGTGACCAAAAAAGGCATATATTCTAATATTTTCAATTCAACATAAACAAAAATCTCTATACAGGGTAAATATTCATTTGTGTCAGTATAAATTATTGCGTGACTAGCTTATGATGTAAATGGGGGAGGGGAAAACACAACGCAAAACCTGGGCTCCTGTCAAAAAGTAATACCCAGGCGTTATATAATAATCGAAACAGCTAATAAAATCATAAATAAACAAGGTAAGAGTGTTATGCTAGTTTTTTTTTAATAAATTGTAATGATTTATGCCGGTAAACGGTGCCGACAAATAGGCACGCCATGTATATT